CTTGGGACAGGAAAAAGGTGTTTTTAGAATACCTAATCCCGCTGGAGTTGGACTGGGGAACTGGCAGAACTCCAGGATTGGCCAGGGGGGTCCTGCTGATTGACAGGCATTAGTCAGGAGATCCCACTGATTGACAGGCGTTTCCATTGGGCCTGATTGGTGTTTCCTTCCCACGTGTGCTGCTTTGTCCTAAGTGACCGCCACCGGCCTGACAGAGGCTGGGACGGAGGATCGTGAGTTCAAAGCCAGCCTTAGCAAAAGTGAGGTGATAAGCAACTCAGTGAGACCCTGTCTCTAAATAAAATACAAAATAGAGCTAGGGATGTGGCTCAGTGGTCAAGTGCCCTTAAATTTAATCCCCAATATCCGCCTCAAAAAAGGTTACAGAATGTGTATATTGTAAGGTCCTTGCTTAGCATCTGGATGGCCATCTTAAGTTACAGTGGCCATTTTAAGAAAAAGCTTCCCTTTTCCTCCCAAGGACCTTTCAGAAAAAGGTTCACCACTCCCTCATACTGTAATGCCAGATTTGTGGGACCCCAACAGACCTCCAGGAGCCGAATCCAATGCAATCTTACAAGAGTTTTTATTGCAAGCTCGAGCCTGGACTCACAACCGTACCCAATGCAGCGGTCCCAGGGAGTGAGTCCTGGTCCTTTGTTCAGTGAGATTTTATAGGTTTTGGGGGATACTCTATGCATCACAACATCACACAGCAAATCATTCCATACCGCAGGAAAGTCAAACAACAACTCTTAACACTGATTAGCATATTCACTGGCGGGAACAAGTTGGGTAGGGGTGACTGGTTAGTACAAGAAGGGGATTCCTTTGAACTGATTGGTTTAAGCCACCAAGGGTGTATGTGCTAAACTATATGGTTTCCCAACATGTTACAACCACCATAAACTACTTGGGGGTCATCTGGTATCCCAGGTATTTTTCCTGTCTCATGCTGATTGGTGGTTGCTAGGGGGGTTGCTATGGGTCCTCACCTAGCTTAACTGAGTCAGGGACACCTGGCACTGCAGACCTCTCCCGTTACTTACAGATAAACAACTCAGCAGGGTGGGTAGGTGCTTAGGAGTGCTCTGTGGGTTTTTCCAAGGACAAGGGTCACACCCCCTTCCTTGAACAGGCTTTGCTCTGAGTTAGAGGCTGGTTTCTCAAAAATGGAGTCACATTAGTTTCTCAATACCAACCTTATAGCTTTGTCTTCTGATATTCCTTTCATGAACCCCACATTCCAGTTTCACAAAGCCACTTCCAATTATTCATGCAACAGAATTTATGAAGTTCCTGTAAAGTAATCAGCCCTTCCTATGGGACTGTGAATAAAGTGACAGACAATGCAAATGAACTCACAGTATACCAATGGGACATGAAATAGACATTGAATGCTTTGAGAGCTTATGTTGGAGAAAGAGGATCCAAGAATGTCAAAGAAGTTTTCCCTGAGCAAGTAAGGTTTGAGTTGGGACTGAGCAATAGAGTATATTGTTCCCCACACGTACTTGTACTTTCCCTTTCCAGGCCTTGGATTACTGTTTCTTCCCCAGTGGAATATTTTTCTACCTATTGAGATGCAACATGCCTTTCAGGCTCGGCTAAAATGTCTGCTCCTTTATAAAGTCTTCCCTGAGCCTCCTGATTCAAAGTTTCTCCTTTATACTCCAAAAACACTTGGTTTTCATTTTTCTTTGACACTTCTTTTTTTTGTTTGTTTGTTTATTTAGTTGTAGATGAACATAATACCTTTATTTTATTTATTTATTTTAATGTGGTACTGAGGATCGAACCTAGTGCCTCATATGGGCAAAGCAAGCCCTCTGCTACTGAGCTACACTCCCAGCCCTCTTTGACATTTCTTTCTACCATATATATATTTTTTTGTTATTATTATACACAACTTATCTTTTTCTACTAAATCTTAAACTCTGTTTAACAGTAGACTCTTGTTTCTCATTCACTTTAGCAAATTCCTTAGATCTAAAAGTCCTGGAACAAATATTTGCAGCATAAATTAAGGCCTGCTAGACATCCCTTTTCAATTATGTTGTAATTCAAATGAAGCTATTGTTGGTGAGCTGTGCCTTTGCAATTGAACTTATTCTTTGGTTAAACCAGAATGCCATAGTCATAGTACCCAAGACTGATTATTGTTCACTACAATGACTGCAAAAACTCTAACAAACAGGCCACTGTTCTTTGACAGGCATTTGGCAACAACTGTCAGTTCTCCAGTGCAGGCTGAAATGAACTGAGGAAGAGCTGTCTGAATGGAGAGCCCCTCAACCCTGTGGGGCTCTGTTTATTTCTTGCAGTTGGGCTGCTAGAGCCAGTGACCCAGGCTTTGGCCTCATGTGAGACATGCCTTCAGGGGATGGATGGCATTGAGGCTATGGGGTTTTCCAGGGTGACAGAAACATTAATGCTTAGAACAAAATCATCCAGACCAGTTAACAGTGGAAAGCATTGAAATTTGAGGCTGTGTGATAACAACAGAAAGAGAACTTTGAAGTTACACAGATTCAGGTTTGGTCATAACTAGTTACATGATTTCACCCATGTGCCTTTTTTGAACCTCTCATTTTTCTTTAAAGAATATTCTGCAAATATTTTAAAATAATGAAGATAATATATGTATACTATTAAAATTTGTTTATTTGTATTATCTTACCTAATTTATTTTGTTCTGAGAGCAGGGACTTATTTTTTTCTCTCTGCAAATCTAGCAAGCACCCAGCACATAGCAGACATGAGTAAAAAATTTTAAACAAATTAACAACACCAATAATAGTTAACATTTATGGAGCAATACTTCATGCTAGAAATTGTTTTCATTTAATCCTCCAACAATCCTAGAAAGAAGCTACCATTATAACCCAATTTTACAGAGGAAAAAAAGTGAACATATTTTTAATTTTTAAAAACTAATGTATTTATTAAATTTTTTTAAATGCTGAGGATACAACAAAGGTGCTCTAGCACTGAACTGCATCCCAAACTCTATTGAACATATTTTTAAAACTGTACAGTTTTTATTTCTTGTCTGGTAGGATATTCAAATTATGAACTCCCTATAAAGGTGACAGTTGAAGCCATGGAGCCGAACTGGTCACCACAATTAATAATGAAAAGGAAAAAAAAAAAGAACAGAACAATCAATCAGAAGGTCAGTGAGGATAGTGCAGTTTCATAGTAAGCACGAAAGAATTTTTTGAGTTGAAGATGAACTTTATGATTCAGTCTCGATTAGTGAATGTGAATATGTTTAGGAGCTGGTTAGAATGATTTGGGATCTTTATCCAGTTGTGGTACAAAAACTAACTTCAGTTGCTAGTGATGATTCTAGTGCTGTTACTGTTTTAGACAAAAGTTGAAAGTTTTAAAGGCCTAGACAATATGGATTTCTGTTTTGGTTCAGTTTTGAGTGTTCCAGAACAGTTCTTTTGGGAAGGGGGTTTGTGTGTAGGTGCATGCCTATTTAATCTGAGTGGCTGTCTGGCCAGTCTTAAGTTTCTGTATATCTTCCATTTTTGTTGTTTTTGTATATTTTCCATCCCCACCACATCCCCACTTCTGTTTTCTCAAGTAGTCTATCCTGACTCAAGATTTTTTTGGCTTGCTTCTCTACTTCATCTTCTAGAAGGCCACTGTAGTGACTTTTTTCTTCTATATAACCAAGAAGGCTGTAGCCAGCAGATGGCACTGAAGCAGAGAGGGGCAGAATTCCTTTAGTTCCAGACAAACATTGTGGATCTTTAACCTTATAATTTCAGCTCTAGTATGGTACTTCTGACTGGATCCTAATAAAGTGGGCCGAGTTGTGCACAATTAAAAATTTTGATTTGTATAGTAGAATCTGTAATTTTGTCTCTTTACCCTACTTCCATCATTAGATGATGATGTCTTTCATCATGTTGTCAAAGTGTCTTCAGAGGAAAGCTGTCCAAATGTCCCCAATTTATGGTTACAGTGGCTGAGGTGTATTTCTAAATACAGGAAATAATTGAGACTCTCCTAATAGTTTAAGAAAAAGAAAATCCATTCACAAACATTAATCTGAATGTTTCCAACATGGCAGACCTTTAAGATCTGAAATATGTTATTTTTTGCTACAAAGTTCCTTAGTTCATTCCGAAGAATCAGATGCAACTCGACTAGATTTGCATCAGGAATCAGAAAGAGCCAGGCAATAAGGGCAGTTCCAGAGGCAGAGGGGCTGCTTCCCCAGCTCCTCCCCCAAAACCAAAGGCTTTACATATCTATTACTAAACCAGCTTACTAGTGCAGAGCATAGAAACAGAGAAAAATCATATTCCCAATCAAACATGTCCAACACCCAGATACTGGGGATATTTTCATTCAGCTTTTATGGTAAAATGTTAGTTACCTTGCTATAGCATACATTTCATGTGCGATTTTTATTGACCCACTTGGTTCTCCTCCAATGTCTTCTCTTGAAGTTTACCTGATTTTATTACAAGTTCTCATCTTCTTTGGGGGAACTGGACGATTTGGTTTTGTTTCTTAGTTAGAAAGCTCTTGATCCTGAAAGTCTTGTGAGGCAGCGAACAGAGTCAACCTCATAAACCTAGATGGTGGAGAAAAGGAGAGAAAACGGAACTGTTTCTTAAGCACTGGTGTTGGAGCTCTCTTAAGTGGAAGAACCAGAGGACTGAAACCTTTCTGTTGCAGGTGGGATGCAACATAAAGGCTGCTTTACAAATACACGAAGAGCAGCCACCAAGGCACATAACCCCCAGCATTTACTTTCTCAAACACATCACCGCAGTCCAGCCAAGTTTCGTCCCAACACTAACTCCCCAGTCAGCCTGAAGCGGCTCAGTTACCATGACCACAAAGGAAACCTCGCGGCCCCCCACCCCACACGTGCTCTCCTTAACCCACGTGAGCGCGCAAGCGCGCAAACACCACCTATGCAGATCCTCTAACTCGACGATTGGCTAGCAAGTCCTGATTGCGTTCGGCGCTCGCCTCTCGGTCCTTGCGCTTGCGTATTGCGGCTTCTGCCTGTCGCCTCGGCCCGGATCGGGAAGTGACAAGCGGGAGTCGGGTTTCCCCGCCTTCGCCGCTACCACCGCTGAATCCGGACCCCTTACCCAGGCCCGAGCCTAGCCGCCATGACTAACGGTGAGGGTCGGTGCCCCGAGCGGAGGGTGGTAGTAAAGGACGCGGGGGAAACTGGCGGGCGGGGCCGGGACTGACGTGGCCGTTCTCCCCGCCCCCTCCCAGCCCTTCCCCTCTCCGCTTCTCGAAGCCCTTAACTCCTTTCTCGTGTACTTCTCTGCAGGTTCCTTCTTCCGGTGCTCATCTAGGTCTCTCAGTCCCTCTCCTGTCCACATCTCGAGCCTCAGGTCTCTACCCCTCTTTTCCTTTCCAAGAAGTTCGTTTTGGCCCGGAGGAGGGCAGTCTCCAGAAAACTAGTGTTCTTTAACCCCAGGGAGGAGAGAATACTCCTTCCCAGCCCCCTACTTTCTCGTACTTTGGAACTGTAGGCTGGTTAAGAGGATCAAGAAATCACCGAGGATATCAAACCTCACACTTTGGCGAGTCGGGGGAGGTGAACGTAGACCCTCCCCAAAGTTCTTTTAAAAAATGCCGGAAAGCCTTCTCTTGCTTAATTCTAAAGTCCTAACTGGGTCATCACATCTGGAAACTCTGGCTGGTGTTGCAAAGGATAGATTTAGACACTACCTTTTCTAAATGATATAGTAGTTGTCACCCTGATCTAATTTTCCCGGTTTCTTCAAACACTTTATAGACATGATTTCTGAAATCCAGGGAAAGGCAGGGAGCAGGCCTTCTATGGTCTTTACAATCAGCCTTTCAGAAAAGGAAAAGAAAACGTCTTTTAGGCAGTATAACTTGAAGGGCACAGGAAAGCATTTCTCAAAAGTACCTTGTCCATAGGTGTGGCATTGAAGACTATTATTTCACCTCCTTGTGAAATTTTGGCAGCGTCTGCAAATATTTATGGGAGGAAAAGTAGCTCATGAAGGTATCATTCTTCCTAAAAACTGTGTGTGTATAATTTGCTGGACCTAGCTATGAGAGTGTTTTACTGGAGGAGGAGAGACGCATAGTGTGGTCCAAAACTGGCAGACATTAGCTATACACAATATCAGTTTGGAACTTCCCGGATAGTCAGAGGTCTCAGGACGTTACCCAGAGGAAGAAATAATCCGAACCTGGAAATAAGAGAGCATTCTGGCACATAGTAGTTGCTGAATAATTTGTGTGTGTGTCTGTGTTCCACTTGTGCAGTCCAGTATTATTATTACTTGCAGTAAGGTAATTCATTGTGCTCACCAGTACAATTTGAATTTACATATATAAAATACAGAACTGAGAGCTTAAAGTTTTTTGCTATGTCAAATGATCAGCTTTTTAAAATACAAGAATGTGTTGTTATTCTGGCAGAAATTTGGTTTGTAAGTAGAGTATCATGCATGAAGTGTAAGCTAATTATAAGAAAATGGTATTCACATGAATTCTAACTCTGAAAATTTTCATGAAGCTTTATTCTTTGCCTCAACATTATATTCTTCACTAACAGATGTAGATCAGACAGACTTGGCTAACCATCGAGTTCTCCTTTATTACATGAGTGGTTTAAAACCAGAACATGTTTAATTCTCTGTGTTCAGGCTCCAAGGATTCTTATTCCTCTCTCAGCCCATTGCCAACACTGGAAGGCTGATTCCACATAAATCTATACACCCTACTCAGGATTCTAGTTTGGGAAAGGTGAGGGGAGGAGGCAGTGAAACTGTTGTAAAGGGGATGTCTACAAGCAATTTTGGTGAGCAGTAAGGTAACATTGTAAGTCTCAGGACCTTGGCTCTCTCTTGTCAAGTGTTGGCACTGCCATTTGATACTGTTATCTTGATATTATATAACACTCTGTCCTCCTTAGCTGAGACTCACACTTAGCCCTTTCTCAGCTGGTATTACCTATTTCAAGTTGGATCAGCGCTGAAAGTTTGTTTTTTTTTTTTTGTTTATTACAGTGTACTCCTTGGATGGGATTCTGGTGTTTGGTTTGCTCTTTGTTTGCACCTGTGCCTACTTCAAGAAAGTACCTCGTCTCAAAACCTGGCTGCTATCAGAGAAGAAGGGAGTTTGGGGTGTGTTTTACAAAGGTAAGGTCATGTCTGGACAAAGGAGGAGATGGCCATCTCTGGACAGTGTGGTGTTACGAATGGGGTGTTATGAGCTGAGATTATATTTGATTCCACTTTTAGAAAAAAATCTTGAGATGAAGTCTGAGTAAATTTAGAAAACATTCTTATTTCACTAATGGAGTCTATGAACTGAGATGGAGTCTGGTAAAATTAAGTAATCATTTTACAAAATTGAAAAAAGAGGTAGCCCAGAACAGTGATGCACACCTGTAATCCCAGCAATTTAGGAGGCAGAGGCAGGAGGATCTCAAGTTCAAGGGCAGCCTCAGCAAGTTAGCAAGGCCCTAAGCAACTCGTGAGACCCTGCCTCAAAAGAAAAAAAAAGGTGGGTGGGGCTGGGGATGTAGCTCAGTGGTTTAGTGCCCCTGGATTCAATCCCCAGTACCAAAAGCAAAGAAAAAAAGAGATGAATTGTGAATTTGCTATTATTTAGGCGATAAGTGTTTATTTTAGCATCCAGGAAAGTTCAGTATTCTCTGTGGAGTAAAAGTGTACAAATTAAGCTAGTTTTGACTGGGCTGGAGGGGAGGAATATTTTACCACTGAAACCTTTCCTGATTTTCTGGAAACAATACAGTGTAAGTTTTGATTTAACTAATGAAGATGTATTTTTACTTTTTATTTTGGGTATCTTCAATTGGAATCCTACCTACCTAAATCTTTTTTCAAAATAAGGTAAAAAATAGAAATAATGTATTCATCGAGAACCTAGAGCATAAATGTAGCATTTAAAAACATTCCCAGGTTCTTGAAATTCTTAATAGATCTCTTTGTTTGTAACTAGAAATTTTAGAATGTCACCTGGAATGTTAGGATTTTTGTGAACGGCTGGGAGTGATTTCTTCTTTCTATTTTTGCCTGCTAGCTGCTGTGATTGGAACCAGGCTGCATGCTGCTGTGGCAATCGCTTGCATCGTAATGGCCTTTTATGTCTTGTTTGTAAAATGAATTACAAAATACCCAACTCATCAACTGCCAACCAAGGGGACAGGGGTGAAGAACCTGTTGGAGGCCTGGACCCAGTGTAGGAGAGTTCAGCCAAAAACATCAATGTCCCCAAGGTGACATCACAGCATCTGCCCCTGCCATATGTGAGGAAAACTACTTGTGGTCACGGATGTTATTTATGCTTTAGGGGACTCCAGAAAGCCAACTTCCTTTGATCTGTGTGTAAATTGGCTCTCAGCAGTGAACATATAATGTCCAGTTTAATTACACCCATCAATGATAAGATTATATACCTCCTGCTTTTTAAAAACCTGTCACCTGGGCTAGGGTTGAGCTCAGTGGTACAATATTTGCTTAGCATGTGTGAGGCCCTGGATTCAATTCTCAGCACTGCAAGAAAACAAAAATAACACCAACATGTCACCTGTTTTGTTCTTCAACCCCGCATCAGGATCTTTTCAAACTGAGGCTTATAGGGAAGGACATAGGCTGTGTTCAGACCTCTTGAAAGGAGAGATAATTTTCAAGACTTGACTTTTTTTCACTGTTTAATATGGTTTTGGCAAATTGGGGAGGGAGGGTACCAGGTGGGAAAAAGGAGTTATGAAAGGCCAGGAAATTGCTTGGTTTTAGAAAATTGTCTTTTATCTACTTACCTGGGAACATGAGAGAGAGGCATGGCTCTCATTGCAAAAAGAGAATAGATGAAGCAGCTTGGTGTGTGCTGAGAGCTTGAGTTTTGCCAAGAGAATCTGAGCTCATATAAAAATCCAGAAATTAACCATCTGTGATGAGACTAAAGAGCAGTGATTAAGACAAGAAAACACTTCCTGTTCACCTGTATCCCCAAAAGAAGACTTTACTCAATCAAATGGTATATGAAAAATGAATCAGCTGTTGCTATTTCCTAAGGCTTTTTTATATTTTCTAACTTAGTGCTAAATACTGTTACTCAGTTTTAAATGCTACCACTAGGGGAAAAAGAAACGGTTGAAGAAATAATTGTTTAATATATTTGCAGTTAGAGGAGAAGATATAAATTAGCATATTAATTCATATACTAGTGAATTCATCTAGTATAAGAATTTATTGTGATATTATATGGAAGTGTTCTCATGTTATAAAAGATTTATACTTAGTCTTTGTGTTATGGCAATTTTTAGTTGACTACCTGTTTTCTTGGCCAACTGCATTTTCTTTATATCACAGTCTTTTTCATTGTTTCTGGAAATTATTTACTGGGGAAACATGAGAAATTCAAACGAGAAGTTGGTGATATTCGTTGGCATGTTTGGACAGTTCATAGACTCCATTAGTGAAATAAGAATGTTTTCTAAAGTAAAGGAGAATAGAACTTTACAATTCAGAGAAAAGAGCTTTTTCATTGACTATGGCAATTCCTGAGCAAATCTTTTCAGATGACAACATTTTCAGGAAAGACTTTTCTGCTCCCTCCTCATATATGCAGAATCAGCTGTTGGATTTGTGAAGCTAAGAACTTCTGTATATGAAAAAAAGTCTAAAACTAAATTATAGTAAGCAAGCATAGATAAAGATCTTCCAGTTGAATTGTCCATTACAGCAAAACTTGACTGTGGACAAAGTTAGCTGTGGATATCTCCTGTATGGCAATAAATTAATTTGTCTTTTGTCTGTTTTCTATAAAAGATTAAAAGCTGCTAGGAAGTTTAGGTTCTACTATATGCAGTTTCATGCTTTGAGGGATCCTACAAGTACAGACATCATCAAGTAAACACTACATGTCTAATCATCTCAGAGTTGTGGCTGTTATCTCTTCAGGGATTGGTCCACAGGATAAATTTCAGTTATTCATGTTTCCAATTGTCATTTCTGGAATCTTTCATATGAGAAAGGAATAGAAAAGAAAAGTTACATCATATGGTGTGAATTTGGAATCTGTTGGTCATAGGGAATGTCTCCCTGGGAACAGGTTCAGCATGTTTTGCACTTGTTATTTGGTAGCTTTAATGACTTGTTTTCTAATAGGGCTAATGTCTCTAAGTTTGGTGCTTAGAGCTGCTTCATATTTTAAACTAGTTCCATTCCACATTGTAGTTCAACCAATTTTTATAACTGCCTGGGTGGGTCATGTTGGCCTAGACTCTTTGAGTGGTGATATTTTGAGATTTTTCATTCCAGAATGTACCAAAAAGTGTACAAGGTGAAGATAATTTACAGCAAGAAACAAATACACAGCCTATTTCATTTCTTGATTTTATATAAACAGAAAAACAGAAACTTTAACTCATTACTTTGGTTGATATGTCATACTATTTTGGCTAAAAATTATAAAAATTGTTCCTCTGGGGAAGTCTTAGGGGTGGGGGCATGAGGAGAGCAATATTGCCTCAAATTCAACTTGGTATCACCATAAACCCTGTGTACCAGGGTAGAATGAAGTCAGCTCCTTTTTATAGTTGAAATACAGTTTTTTTTATTCATCAATATCTGCACAAATCCTTGAAAATAAAATTTCTTTCCCTACAATATTTGTCCATTTTATTTGACACGTGATGAATTTGTTGAACTTTTTTTTTTTCAGTACTTCCCTTGCATTCTGGTGATAGCTCACCTATTTAGTTCACATTAGTGAATGTCTTCATTCCTGTTATCCACTTTTGAGGGTCATTGAATGTATGATAGAGTTGAGAATATATGATAGCCTAGCTTTCTCCTTTCAGAGGAGATGAGGTTTCATAAAACTTAGGTATATTGAATAAGGTAGAAAGCACTCACCCAATACATTTAACCTGCCTCTGCTACTAAAATGTAAGTATTATCTCCCATAATCAATGAAGTAATTTATTCAAATGAAGTTTTTCAGGTAAACCAGCCAGGCACCTAAAAAAATCTTTCAGCCAACAGAATCTTGTCTCATACAACAGATATTCCCCTACTCCCTATTTGTTTATTCCAAGTGCCTGGCACATATACAGATTATGACTTCAGAAATTATTTCTATTAATCTCTAAAATTCTTTTGCTTTATCTTCTCCCTACACTCTAATTTCATTGAAAAAGAAGGGAAGAGGAACTGAGATGTTGAAAGTTGTGATCTCTACTGTGAGAGGTGCCAGTTCTACTTACATAATCACTATTCATTTTTTTCTTTTTGGTGGTATTGGGCTGCTGCTATTTTTCACTATACTTGTGGACTTTGAAAGTTAGACATGTTTTAATGGATGTGAATGTAAATGACTGCCACACCATCAAGTTCTGAGCAGCCAGAGGGCTCTGTGAGGCAAGGGATATGCCTTCCTATCTTTACCCATTTCACAGATACCCTGACCACCTAGTTTTTGGATTTAAATATTCCTCGGGGGCTGGGGATGTGGCTCAAGCAGTAGCACGCTCACCTGGCATGCTGGGTGTGTGTGGGGGGGCGCTGGGTTCGATCCTCAACACCACATAAAAATAAAGATATTATGTTCACCTAAAACTAAAAAATAAATATTAAAAAAAAAATATTCCTGGGGCTGGGAGTGAGTGTGGCTTAGTGGTAGAACATGCCTAGCATGGGTGATGACCTGGTTTTGGTCCCCATTACTCAAAATATGTATCAAGAAAAACAAATCTAGGGCTGTGGTTGTGGCCCAGTACTGGGTTCAATTCTTAGAACCACATAAAAATAAGTAAAATAAAGATATTGTGTCCATCAACCACTAAAAATATTTTTTAAATGAAAACTCGATTCCTCACCTTTTCTGTGGTGAAAGATGCTTGCCTTCTCCCTTAGAAGAACTCTTGGAGCAGCTGATGCTCTTCTTGGTGGTGACCATCGGTCACTCTGTCCGTGCAAAGTGAACCATTCACCTAAAAATCTGACATTGAATCATCTTATACTCAATATTTTAAAATTTAAGACAAAAATAAAGTCGAGATAAAAGAAAACTATAGATGTGCATATGAAGGTTTATATGAATTAATATAAAGATAAAAAGACAACCACCATTCAGTATTAATTCAGTCTCCTCTCCCTAAGGCCTCCAAGCCACACGAGGGCAGCAGGACGCGTCCTGGACAAGATTGTGCTAGGGAGTCACCAGCCTATGGTGGGTGGCTTCTCCCAGAATCCTCCGCGGCGGCGGCGCCGGAGGGTTTAAAAGAGGGTGCGGACTTCCGCTGCCTCACGGGAGGGAGAGCGGCCTGGGCTGAGGCGACTGTGTGTTGTGTTGTGTGGAAGGTGCGTGTGGGCCCAGTGAGCGAATGGACGCTCGAGTGTGTGTGCGTGGAGCGTGCAAGGCGAGTGCGTGTACCCCACCTGCGCCCCTCCCCCCGCCTACACCTTGATCTTATTTGATCGGGTCGTGACCCCAGCCCCGCCGGGCCGCCCCGAAATGAAAAGCTCTCCTCCTGCGAAGCCCCCTCCTCCGGGCGCTGTGCAGTGAGGCCCTTTGGGCGGCGGCAGCGCCGCGGTCCCTGAGGTCCCGGAGCTGGTCCAATGGGCCCGGTGCTCAGAAGTGATGAATTGATCAGATAGACGAGGCCGGGCCTGTCCCGGGCCAGTGATTATCGAGGCGATTCTGATCTGAGCCCAGGCCACAGTCACCGGCCACCGAGCTTCAGGACGTTAGGGCAAGCACGTTACCGATCTGTGGCTGGGGCCGCTGACGTGCGGAGGCGGAGAGTGAATGGGCCGAGAGCGGTTTCCCTGCCTCGGGCTGGAATGTGACCGAGGCCTTCCCTTTTTTCCTTTTAGGATAGGCTTCTCTCTCCCTCCCGCCCCCCCCCCCTTCTTCTTTTTTTTTTTTAATATCTTTATTTCATTTTTATGTGATGCTGAGAATTGAACCCAGTGCCTCACGCATACTAGGTGAGCCACAAACCCAGTCCCCCCAATAGGCTTCTTTTTTGACTGTGGTACCCACGCAGGTGCCCCCAGAGCTAAAGGCACCCTACAGTCTCTGCCGCTAAGGTACACATTAAACTTACAGGAATACACATTCCAGGGATTTGCCCAGAATTTAACGAATTAGAATAGAAATCTAGGAATTTTTCTTAAAGCATTTAAAACTTTATTTTTTTTTTCCACCAGGGATTGAACTCCGGAACACTCAACCACTGAGCCCATCCCAGCCCTATTTTATATTTTACTTAGAGACAGGGTCTCACTGAGTTACTCAGCGCCTCGTTGTTACCGAGGTTGGCTGTGAACTCCTGCTTCAGTCTCCTGAGCTGCTGAGATTACCACTGCGCCCTGCAATTTTTAAAAATTTACACAGAAAAATTGTACATATTTAGGAAGTACCATGTAATGTTTCAGTGCATGCATACATTATATAATATACACTTTAGGCACTTTAGGTAAATATTTCTGTCTGGAAAAAGTATCTTTATGATGAAGACATTCAACATTTGTGTTTCTTCTCTCTGGCATTGAATCCAGACTTAACCACCGAGCTACATCCCCAGCCCGCTTTTTTTTTTTTTTTTTTTTTAAGACAGTCTAAATTGCTTAATGTCTAGCTAAGTTTCTGAGACTGGCCTTGGGATCCCCAACTGTACTCACCAGCATAAAGAAACCACATTTTATTCCTACTATGAAAGCAACTTTTTTTTTTTTTTTTTTTTTTAATATGAACGAGATGGTGTGTATTTGCCTTTCTGTGCCTGGCTTATTTCACTGAATGCCTTCCAATTCCATCTGTGATGTTGCAAGTGACAGGATTTCACTCTTTATGGCTGTACAGTATTCCATATTTGTATATCACATTTTCTTTATCCATTCATCCATTAGTGGACATCAGTTGTTGGAATTTCTTGCCCTTATGAATAATGCAGCAACAAACATGGGAGCGAAGATGTTTCTTTAACATACTGGTTTTATTTCCTTTGGATGTATACCTGTTAGTGGGATTGCTGAATCATATGGTAGTTCTATTTTTAATTTTTTGAGTACCTCCCTTACTGTTTTCCATAATAGCCATACTAATTTACATTATACCATCAGTGTTCCCTTTTCTCCACATCCTCACCAGCACTTGTTATCTTAGTCTTTTTGATAATTGCCATTTTAACTGGAGTGAGATGATATTTCATTGTGGTTTTAATTTGCATTTATCTGATGATTTTGAACTTATTAATACCTGTTGGATTGTCTTTTGATAATTATCTATTTAAGTATATTGTGCATTTTTTATTTTTTGTTTTTTGAGTTCCTTACATATTCTGGATATGAATGTCTATAGCTTGCAAATATTTTCTCCCATTCTGTAGGTTGTTTTCCTTCACTATGTTGGTTGTTTCTTCTCTGCAGAAGCTTTTCAGTTTGACATAATCCCATTTGTTTGTCTTTTTGCTTTGTTTCCTGTGTTTTGGGCGTCTTATTTAAAAAATCCTTGTCCAAACTGGCTGCAGTGGTACATGCCTGTAATCCCAGTGACTTGGAGACTGAGGCAGCAGGATCAGAAGTTCAAGGATAGCCTCAGCAACTTAGACCCTGTCTCAGGAAGGACTGAGATGTAGCTCTGTAGTACAGCATCCTGGGTTCAATCATCAGTACCCGCTCCCGCAAAATAATCCTTGTTTATTCCAATATCCTGAAGTAGTTCCCCAGTTTTCTTCAAGTAATTTCATGTCTTCCATTTAAATCTTTAATCCAACTTGAGTTGATGTGTGTTTGTGTTGAAAGGGATCCAATTTCTTTCTCTGTGTGTATATCCAATTTTCTAACACCACTTGAGACTGTCCTTTCCCTAAAGCATTTTCTTAGCATCTTTGTCAAAGGTCAGTTGGTTGTAGTGTGTGAGTTTACTTCTAGGTTCTCTGTTCTGTTCCATTGGTTTTTTTTTTTTTTTTTTTTTTTAATGCCAATACCATTGCTGGTTACTGCAGCTTCACAGTGTATTTTAAAGTCAGGTAGTGAAATGTCTCCCACTTTGTTCTTTTTGCTCAATGTTGCTTTGGCTGGCTGGTTGGGTTTTTTGTTGGTGGTGGTGGTGGTGGTGATGGTAGGTTTTATTTGTTATTCTATAAAAAATTTAGGGTTTTTTTAGTTCCATGAAGGATGTCAGTGTTATTTTGGTAAGGGTTGCAATGAATTTGTAGATTGCATTGGGCAGTATGAACATTTTAACAATATTGATTCTTCCAATTCAAGAACCCAGGATGTCAACCATTTTTTTTTTTTTTCTTATTTTAGAGATTTTTTTCACCTCATGGGTTAAAATTTATCCTTTGGTTTTAGTTTTGTTTTTGTGGTACTGGGGATTGAACCAAGGGCCTCAGGTGTGCCAAACAAGCCCTCTATCATTGAACCACATCCCCAGCCCCTTGTTTTTTAGTTACTGTAAATGGAATTGCTTTCTTGATTTTTTTTGGATTATTCACTATTGGCATGGAAACACCACTGATTTATGTATTTTGATTTTGAATTCTACAACTTTATTAAACTTGTTTATTAATTCTAGTAGTTCTTTGGTGGAGTATTTGGGGTTTTCTACACATAGCATTGTGTTGTGTTCATACAATGACACTTATTATATATGGACTTTATTATGCTGAGGTATTTTCCTTCCACACCTGGTCAGAGGTTTTATCAGGAAGGGATGTTGAATTTTGTCACATGCTTTTTCTGTATTTATTGAGATGATCACATGATTTTTATCCTTAATTCTGTTGACATAGTGTATCATGTTTATTGATTTATATGTAGTGAATAAACTTTTTAATGTGCTATTGGATTCTATTTGCTAGTATTTTTAAAATATTTATTTCTTAGTTGTATACAATACCTTTATTTTGTTTATTTATTTTTATGTGGTGCTGAGGATCGAACCCAGGGCCTCGAATGTGCTAGATGAGCACTCTAACGCTGAGCTACAACTCCAGCCCCCAGCCACAAACCCAGCCCCTATTTGCTAGTATTTTGTTGAAGATTTTTACATGTATGTTTATCAGGGATATTGGTCTATAGCTTTGTTTGTTGTGTCCTTGTCTGATTTTGTAAAACGAGTTTGGAAGAATTCCTTCCTTTTTAGTTTTTTGGAATAATTTAAGAATAATTAAAAAAAAAGGGATTAGTATTCTTTAAATGCTTGGTAGGGATCTATATTTTATGAATGTATGTATGTATGTATGTATGTATCTATTTATTTATTTATTTATTTATTTATTTATGGTACTGGGGATTGAGCCCAGAGTGCTTAACCACTGAGTCACATCCCTATCCCATTTTAAAATATTGTATTTAGAGACAGTATCTCACTGAGTTGTTGAGGCTGGCTTTGAACTCAGGATCCTCTTGCCTCAGCCTCCCAAGCAGCTGTGCTGGGTGGGATCAATCTATCTATTTTTATAGTCCATAGGCTTTTATTAATTTATTTTTACATTTATTATGTCAGGAATTCATAGGGAATAGGTTCCAGCAGTCCATGCTCCTTTTGTTCTCACAAAATGTGCTTCTCTAGATGGAGCAGGCTGGTGCTGCAGCTGAATCCAGTTACCTTTCTCTTTAGATTCCTTCTTTTTCTGATCATTTTCCTTCACGTTTCAGGAAGCTGTCCCGGCTCTCGGGGTGCTTAATATGCTCAATACGTACATTAATTCTGTTGGCAGGAATCTTGCCCTTAACTTGATTATTCACAACAATGCCAACAGCATGGTGGGTAACATTGTAGACTCTCTCAGTTTTGCCATTATTACTTACATTTGTGGAATATTCCTTTTTAAACAGCACCCATTCCCTTTAATGTCTACAATATCACCCTTCCCGTAGATTTGCATATATGTGGCCAAAGGAACAACTCCATGTTTTCTAAAAGGCCTAGAGAACAAATATATCAGGTTCCTCTCCTCTTTACCTTTGTTTGTCATTTTGGTGAATTACTGGAAGATGGTGGTTCCAGCCAGAAGGCTTTATTTTTATATTTATTTTTTTCCAAAGAAGCCCATTTTATTACTTTCCTTATAGAAGTCCTGTTCTTTTCCATGGTGATTGATGTGCCTTTTCCACAAATTCCAACCTTCCTTCTACCCATACTCCCCATGTCTGTTAAAGTGTATATAGAGATAGCAGATACATTTGTTAAGGGTTTTGCCTGATATCAACATTAGATTTCCAGTGATTTCTTCTTTCAGGTACAATGTTTCAATCCATTCATTCTTCTTCCAGTCTTTCCTCCTCCTCCTCCTCCTCCTCCTCCTCCTCCTCCTCCCCCCCCCACCATACAGGGCCTACATTTAGAGTGGTTTTTCAGTTTCCCAGAACCCCAATTTTGTCATATATTCCAACCATGAACCACTTTCCAGAGCAGAAGGGTGAGCCTCATACAGATTAATCCTGGAACACCCAGAGGCCACGGAAATCCAGCCCCACAAGCTCTACCCCCCCCCCCCCCTCAAGAGAACTGCCATTGCTCTGAACTCTCAACAGCACGCCTAGCTCAAGAATGAGGGCTAGGCGGCTTTTAAGGAGATGATTTCAAGGACCATTCATTGGTCTCACATGGGTACTAAGCTGGAGGTGGCCATCTTGGCCTTATCAGGGTCTGTATTTTTAAAAGCTTCAACATGGACAATAGTAATTCTGTTTTTGTGCTGAGGATCAAACCCAGTGCCTTACACATGCTAGGCAAACATTCTGTCACTGAGCTACATCTCCAGTGGTAATATAATCTGTTAACTGCACATCAGGTGATTGATTATCCAAGGAGTCACCCCTCTCTACCAACTTTAGCTATTTTAAATAATGAGAACTGAAATTTAATATTGCCATGTGCCAGCAAATACTATCTAAATAGAAGGTCCCAATGGAAAGTTTGGTTTAAGGACTATATCTGAGTACCTGGAAGAAACCCTTTCACAACTGAATTAATGCATACATTGTCAGACAATTAGACAATTAGTGTTATGTTCTTGGTTATCAAGAATACTCATGTAGCTTTGGGATTTTAAATTGGTGAATATTCATGATGTGTGGAAAAGCATGATACACACACTACAATCTTAGTCACACAACATGGGATATGTGTATGTACATGTACAACCTGGAGGGACATGTCTAGCTAAGTTGCTTGTGACTGGATGACTTTGTTCTTTGTGTTTTTATTTTTTCTGTAATGCACGATTAGCTTTTAACTTAAAAAAAAAACACCTATTTTTTAAAATGAATATTACGCAATATTTTAAAAGATCCTTGGGCCATTTCTTGTCCAGTCTTTATGAACACAGAAGGTTCTTGGGAGTGACTTATAATTTTAGAAACCACACTAAAGGATTATTTTTTAGACACCTTCAAACCCAAACACCAGATTTTTTTTTTTTTTTTTTGGTGTGTGGTGCTAGGGACTAAACCCAGGGTCTTGTACATGTGAACTCTACTAATTGAGCTATATCCCCAGTCAGAGTTTTGAATGATGTTATAAAAGTAAACACAAGTTATATATTATAGCACAAATTGACAAGGAAAGGGAGTTGGCTACCAGGCAAGGAGACAGAAGCAGCGTTAGAGATTGGATAATGGCAAGTAGCCAGAACCAAGGAGATGGAACCTTCCAAGAAAAGTAGAATCTAGCAGATGACTAAACCCAAGAAGTCTGAATGTATAAAGTATGACCTTAGCAGAAATATTAATGCTACTTAGAGCTCTAAAATTACAGTGTTCCATAAGATCCTCAAGAGAGTGGGCTAAGTTTTGTTTCCTCAAAGATTTGCAAGAAATGTTGAGTGGATAGCTCTTAATGGTTAGATTAACTTCAATTTGCAACATGTGAATACCTGTGTCTGGCCAAAAACAATGTTGTTGTAGTCTAAATCTTTATCTCTTCAGCAAGACTAATTCCAAATTGCAAATATACCCAATAGGATTACTTTCTAGGAGTTGGGAAATTTCTGTCCCATGTTTTAAGAGCAGACAAGAGGCACCTCACAGTTATAAGTAACGGACATTTCATGCTTCATTTTGCACAAATCTATTTAATGGAAATAGATGGCAGGATGTCCACAGTCCACTGACCTGTCAACACTAGGTGGAGAAGAAACCACCATCATTCTTTCGGGAGTAACCGCCATTGGTGGCTGCTGTATGAGGAGACACTGGAGAAAAGAGAAGAGGGATGAGCTTGAATTTTTAATCAGCAGTACATTATGGGAACTATAGATTTTTCACAATAGCTGGAAAACTGGCATATGAAGGACTGATGGGAGGTATAGTTCTACTCCCAGGTGTCTTCCCTGCTGAAAATGTTTATTGCTTAAACCTAAGGCTCACCTGAGAGGCTCACCTGAGAGTCTCTGAAAAATTGAATAAATTTCCTAGCTCTACAGTCAACATGTCCCCTGGTATTAGTGTGATATTTACCAATTTAATCACTGCTTTCCAAGACCCTCAGTAATCCCTGATCTTCCCTGCCAGCCATTAGCCTCAAATCTGATTCTTGGGTCCATTCAGGAAGACTTGCACTATCTCATCTGCCCACTCAATTTTCTAACCCTCACCTATGGATCCCTGGACGCTGTGGATACATTCCTTCTTAGGATTAATCCAGTGTCTGATGGTCCAGGAAGTGATGGGGGGTGGAGCAGGAAGGGGTAAACATTCCCCAGACAGGCACTTGGTTCTAGAAGATGGTGTGGGGCAAACAAAGGAGAGTAATCAGAGAAAGATGAGGAGAGAAAGATAATTGCCAAGACCTCAAAAGTAAAGTAGACAGGGCTGGGGCTGTAGCTCAGTGGTAGAGCACTTGCCTAGCATGTGTGAGGCACTGGGTTCGATCCTTAGCACCACATAAAAATAAATAAAATAAAGGTATTCTGTCCGTCTTCAACTACAAAAAATAATTTTTTTAAAGTAGACAAAGCATCTTTTTTCCCTTTGGAATTAATGAAAAGTTTTGCTCATTTATACAGATGAGTACAATCTTGGATGGTTTCTGTTCATTTTAGACAATTAAAATACAGAAAGTACAGATAGATGTAAAAACAGAGAACTTTGTGCACAAATTGGTAGCTATCAGTGACATTTCACGTTGTATAACTGGATGGCAATCTACCAAAGAGGGTTTCTACCACTTACTTGTGGGTGTCCTGGATAGTCTCCTGGTGTAACAGGATCTCACTTTTGTTCTTGAATGCCCCACTGTGGTGATCATACAAGGTGGTTAAGCGGAAATCCAGGTCATCCTTTGGTATCTACAGGGGAAGTCAGTTCCCCCAAGGTTAACTTGGTCACCTGTGCCTCCATTTTAGCCAAGTTCTATTGTGTTCGTGACTATTCCCCAGAAATATAATGTTGGGCCTGAAATCTACCAACTCCTTATGACACTAAATTGTCGTGCATGATGACTTCCTAATTTGTCAATATGAAATTGTCTCCCTTGGGCTGGGGCTGTAGCTCAGTGGCAGAATGCTTGCCTAGCACGTATGAGGCACTGGGTTCAATCCTCAGCCCTACCTAAAAATAAATAAAGGCATGCTGTCCATCTACATCTACAAAAAAAAAAAGAAGAAGAAAAGAAATCGTCTCCCTTATGATTACTTTCAAGGAGTGGTGACATGGCAATATTGTCCTTGAATTTGGCTTAATAAACTTGACCTTATATTCAGTTCTTGTTTTAATAAAAAGAATATAAGAAATCTGGTAAAAATGACTTGTTTCAGATAACTGCCTGGAGCAAAACCCAAGCCTTGTGACTTGATAAATTGGTTTTGGATTTGGTAAGATCTCAGACTGGGGCCAATAGGAAAGATGATGAAGCAGTCAGGTCAGGCTACCTGCATTATTAGTGGATATTCATGAGTCATAGGTGGACAGAAAGATAAGTAATATTTCAATGCTAAGTACCGTGGGATTAAAAAAATAGGCATCCTGCCTTATGGAGTTGATTGTGGGAGTTGAGCTGAGTCGACTCCAGGGTTCCAGTTGTTGATCAAGGTGAGTTTGGTTCTTGTGTGGCAATTTCTGCAAAAGAGAAAACACCCATGGCCTAGTTATAGAAAATCTTGTTGATATGGTAGCATCAGGGACATCTGCAAAAAGAAGAATGATGTGGGGTAAGACTCCTAGGTTTTCTTAGAACTGGAAGAAATGGGCCAGGAATACAGAGAAAGGAGTGAAATGGGATAGGGCTGGGTAAAGAGTAGGGAATAGGTAGGGAAAATGATGAGCTCAGGTTTTGGCGTCCTGAGTTTGAAGAAAAAGTGAGACTACTAATTCATTTGGCAGGAAATCAGAAGTGTGCAATTTGGGAGGAGAGCTTAGAACAAAGTAATAAAGATCAGGGTTTGTCTGTATGCCTCAGTAGTTGAAGCCTGCAAGAAGTCTGACCAAAAGGGAAAGCCAGCTCTTGAGGATTGCATAGTATTATAGCTGGGAGTGGGGAAGGTGCCATGAGAAGCAATCTGGGGCAAAATCAGGAGTGCAACATTTAAGTAGGTGAGAAAAGCTTTCAGTAAGCAAGGATGTGTCATTCATTGTGTTAGGTTTGGATCTAGGTATGTCCCTCAAAAAGCTCATGCAGCAGTGTTCAGAGTTGACAAGATTGGATTACGAGAGCTGTGACCTCATCAGTGGGTTAATCTGATGGATTAACAATTTGGATGGACTGCTGGGTGGTAACTGTAGGCAAGCTGGAGGAAGGAGTCTCTGGAGGCGCAGTTTGGCAATTATATCTTGTCCCTGGCTCCTTACTGTCCCTCTGCTGCTCTCTGGCTGCCATGAGCTGAGAAGTTTTCCCCCACCATACCCTTCTGCCATGATGTTCTGACTTACCTCAGGTCCAGAGTAATAGAGTTAGTCAACCATGGACTGAACCTCTGAAACCATGAGCCAAAATATAAATTTCCTCCCCTGAGTTGTTCTTGTCAGTTATTTTTTTGTCACAGTGATGGAAAGCTGAATAACACATATTGATTGAAGGCATGTCAGAAAAAAAAAACCCGTTGAACAATAGTACTTTAAATAAGCCCCACAAGCATGAATGTGTAAATCACAAGTTGATTTCTTCATTACATATAAAATGCCATATTTTTCACCACTGTATATCCAGGATCTAGCACAGTGACCTAACAAATGGTATTCGAAAAATGATACTGGATGAATCAATGACTGAATTCCAGTGAGTATAACTACAGTGGATTAGAAACATTCAACTTATATCCAATGTTGTAACCTTTATTCCCCTCAATTCGGCAAAGAGTTGTTTGACTTAGCTCAGTTAGACCTTAATTGAACAGTAGTATTGAGCCCTGTCCTATCATTGACAGATGAAAACTGAAATGAAAAAAAACCCAGCAAATATAAAATATGCAAGAATAGGCTCAGATATCCCTTGCTGTGCGTTTGGGCAGCTTTCCTCCCACTCTCTTTGAAGTCTGCACAAGGCTTGTCATCTCTATCAGCCTAAGAATGAGATTGCCTTTCACTGAGAAAGTTGAGTCTGTCAAGCACAAAGGCCACCTACATATTCACTTTCCTTCCTTCACAGGGAAAGGGAGCCCATTTTACTCAAGAGTAGCCTCCCTGGACCCAGACCTTCCCTGTGTGTGTGCTTCAGAGACCTGTACCACTTGCATCTTCCCCCGCCCCCCACCCTGTACAGGGATTGAACCCAGGGACACTTAACGACTAAAACCCAGCTAGTTTTATTTTTTATTTTGAGACAGAGTCTTGCTAAGTTGTTTAGGATCTCACGCTACATTGCTGAGGCTGGTTTTGAACTTGTGATTCTCCTGTCTCAGCCTCCTAGCTGTTCGGATTACAGTTGTATGCCACTGCACTTGGCCCCTTCTCTTCCATCTTGCCTCCCATTCCTTTATCATGCTCCAGCTACCATATCATGCTCCATCTTCTCTACAGAGCCAGACTTCTTCAAGAAGATGACTACCTTCACTTCCTCCCCATTCCCATCCCCTCTGCTGTCCCATGCAGTCTGGCTTCTGCCTCCAGCACCCACTGAAACTGCTCTTGGTGATCAAGGATCTTTATGGCTAGATCAGGAGAATCCTTCCTCATTTTAATTGATTACTGTGGTTTCTGGCACGACAACTCTGAATTTTCTCAAATGTTCTCTCCATCCTGTGAGTTCAGCTCCTCTTGGTTTGCTTATGGCTTCTATGTCTCAGTTTCCCTCTCTCTGGCCTAGACACAGTGGTATTCTCCAAGGTCTAGTGTCTGCTTTTCTTTTTCTCACATTCACTGGATGAGTTGATTCTCTCCCATGGTTTCAACTACCATATAGATACTGTGTCTCCCAATTACATCTTCAGTCCAGAACTCTCAATCCTGTTGCCTACAACTAATCTCAACAAAAATGTTCCATAGGCACCAGAAAAACAACATCTATACAATTGCCTCAATCTTTCTCTCCAAACCTGTTTCCTTAGGACACCTCATTTCAGTGAATGGTAACAAACTATCAGAACCTAGGAGTTATCTTAGATTGGCCTCCTTTCCTTGGACCCATATCCAGTCAGCCACCAAGCCCTATCCATCGTATCCTTTACATCTTCCTCAAATCTGCACCTTATGGCCACCCCCTACATCACTGCTACAGTGATGTAGGTCCACTGTTTTTCCTCATGGAAGTCGCTGACCCTGCTTTCTAGCTGATTCCTCTTGTCTCAGTCCAGTTCTACCCAATCCACTGTCACATGTGTTTTCTAAAACACCATCTGATTGTATCACTCCAGTGCTTTAAAATCCCCCCCGTGACTCCCACACATCGAGGATGAAATCCCAATCAATTAGCATTGTGTTCACAGTACTCAAACCACCAAGGTCACTTCCCCAGCACTGATCACTCGATGCTTCCATTTCACACGGGTACTTCAGCTCTTACAGACTATGATGTTCCCTAAACAGGCCAACCTCTCTCTCCTTTCCATATATACATCTGATACTTTCTTTTCCTTGAATGCCCGATTCTTGTTTCTTTCCTTCTGATTAACATTCTATCTACTCCTTCACCAGCCCAACTAACTCATAATTGGATGTCAAAATTCACCTGCTCTGGAAAGTGTTCTTTCAAGTTACTGGTTGTCTGGGTACCTTACATATAACTCTGTCACAATACATGTGTCATTGTGCAAGCATTTTTGCTGTTGCTGATCTCTTCTAGAGTTTCTTGAGAGCAAAAGCTCTATCTAGTTTATCTATATGCACTAAGTATTTATCAGAGTACCTTACACATCTGGTATTTAATAAATGTTGGATAAGAGGAAGTTCTTTGATATTGTCATTAAGCCTAAGTTACCATTTAATTACCTTTTCACCTCTTCAAATAGCCCAAACACTTCTCCCAGAAAAGATCCTCTAAATTTCCAGGTCACTGACCACATCATGCTACACACATGTACACACAGACATATTCTGGCATTAACCAGAAGACAGAGACTGTGAAGACAGAAGTAGGAAGCACAACCTGGTGTCTTTCAGAGAACTCTCTCCTACTTCCTATATCATTTCTCCTCAGAGAACAGCTTTCCAAACAAGGGAAGAGGGTAGTTTGGTGGAACCTGAGCCCCAATTATTTGTACTAATCCCTACTTTGAGCTGCAATAACTCCTTGTTCCTCTAGACTAGAACCGTCCTTCCCTCTGCTCAATGGCACTTTCAAAATGTCAGCCAACCTGAACGTGGGGACCAGGAGACAAGGCCAGAGCCGCTTTCTCTGGTACCGAACTCAGTGGCCTCACCAGAGTTCTTCATGTTACCATCTCTGCCCCTCACATCAACAGACTTTCGGCAACCCTACTGGGAGTTGGCGCAAGAAACTTTGGAAGCCTTTGCATACGCATTGTACCTTAGAAGCCGGCAGTTTTCCCAAGCGGGAGTCGTCGTTATCTAATGTAGGTTGTTGGAAAGAGTCCCGGGTGGGAGGCATGCTTAAAAGTTGAGTGAGAAGCTCTTATTAGGATGGGAACCGGAGCAAATGCAGTACAGTCTTGCTCGCGGAGGATCCCGGGTCCCAATTGTTTGGAACGCCCAGTTTCGGTTGCCCGGCAACTGCTCCTCCATCTATGACTGAGATGAATTCCTTCGAGAGAGGCGCCACCTGGCGGCTGAACTTGGGAGGCCCTTAGAGGGGAAGCTGCTGGGAATGCCTAGGAAAGGGGCCGTCGCCGAGCTGCCTGGGAGCCCTATCCTAGATCTGCCCTCCTGAGCCTCAGTTGAGGAACGCCGGTATCTCTCCGTACAGGACTTCTGCAAAAGATATCAGTTGCGGAAAGAAGCCCTAAAAGATGACCCAGAAGTTTCCTTCTCCCTCTCACTTAATAAATGGCTTCTTATTTTCAAAACAGCGAGACAATTAGTGATGTCAAGGGACCCAAGAGCCCACGTGTGGTGCTTGGAAAATTGCCGGCTAAGGCAAACTCCTTGCTTGTACTCGGTCTAACTGTGCAAACCTCAGGGTTGCTCAAAGAGTCGATTGTAAATACAAGGACGGGTGGATGAAAGATCCCCAGAAGTGGTTTTTGCAGTAGGTCATAGGTATTGGGGCCAGTCTTTTGGGAGATGCCTTTTGGAAGGTAGAGATGGAGTCTCAACCTTCTATGGTTTCACATGCCACGTTTGCAAGACTAAAGTTACTCAGAAATAGCCCCTGTCCCGGAAGGGCTGTAGAAAACGGGAATCGTTGGCGGTGGCTTGGAGGATGTTTTCTATCGCGTGGTTTACGCGAGCCCTGCGCCCGCCTGTTGGGCCGGTGGCGTGCCCGCGCGCGTGCATTCTCACCCCGCTCGTGCCAGCGGCGGCGGTTGTCATGGAGACCGGCAGGTGAGCGGCAGAGGCGCGCGTGGTCCCTGCCCCACCCGCGCTGAGCGAGAGAGGATGCGGTTGTCAAGGCGACGTGGATAGGAGGAGAGGACGGAGGGAGGAGGAAGGATGGGCGGCCTTCGCGTAGCCGCAGGGAGGTGACTGAAGCGAGCCCAGCCCCTTGCATCCTCCCCCTGTCTACCTCCCTCCCCTTTTCTTTCCGCCTTCTGCCAGCCGAAGCAGCCGCCGCAGCACCTGAGCCGCAACTGCCGCTCGCTCAGGACAACGCTATGGCTGAGCCCTGTCACAGCCACCATCCCTCTGCCAGAGGCAGAGGAAGAACTGAGAGGCGCACATTCCGGCTTCTGTGGCTGCTGCTCTGGGCTGGGACCGCCTTCCAGGTGACCCAGGGAACCGGACAGGAGCTTCACGCGTGCAAAGAGGTACTGTCCACCTCTCAACCCGACCCCACTTTTGCTTAGAAAGATCCTGGATCCAGGCAGAGACCTTGGGGACCCAGGCACAGTTTCAGTAGACCACAGAGTTTAGATTTCTTTGGGGATGAGGCATGGGGGAGGGAAGAGCAGCAGGCTGGCATCATGGGGAGGCCAGCCCACTGGAGGACTCACGAAAATAGATCACCCTCACACAGCTTGGGGTGCTGAGATCAACGAGAAAGGGCCCAGCTCCAAGAAGTGGAGTGACCAGGGTCCCTGGACTCAGAATGAGTGAGCAAGAAAACATGAATTGTTTTCCAGATGGGGTGAAGTTGCCTGTAAAGTGGTCGAAAACAAAAGATTATGTACATTGAAGCAAAATAGAAAGAGGAAAGGCAGCTAGTGGAATAAGAAAGGAGTTAGAGAGGGGTGTGGGGGGAAAGTAGTGGACTGAAGTAGTAATTTTGTGGTTTAATCATACTTTGAAAGGTGGATGTGAAGGTGAGAGATGTTTGAGAGGGACCGTGGGCTCCCACCAACTCTCTGGTGTCATATTAAACACCCAGCTACTTTTGGGGCTGTTAAATCGTCTTTACAGCCTTGCCGCCCCCAGCATACTTTGTTTAGTGTTTAGGACATTCCACCTTTATCCATATTTTAAGTTTTTGTATATCAAGTTTCTGCCAATCTCTACTCTCCTTCTCTGGACATCTGCTAACATATGTCATAAGTCTTTTTCAAGGTATTTTTCAAATGTTGGCATATTTCAGACAATAGGCAATGAATGAATGTCTTCCAACCAAAAATGACTTCTGAAAATCCTTTGTGGAGAGAAACAAAAGGGCATTAGGAGTAATAATATTCAGTAATTTCTATATTATTGAAATAATAATTTCTATATAATTGAAAGAGCTCTGGGTAGGCTCTTTTTAAAAAAACCATATGGTAGAGGCAATGATAAAATATTTACAAGAACAATGTTGGGGAAGGCAAAATAAAAGTTCTGTTATCTCTGTGAAATGTGAAAGACTTCAAAATACATCAGAGTCCAGCCCTGTAAAAATAATCCCAAATGTAAGTCTTAACTAAGATTTTAAGAGGTTAAAAAATATTCTTTATATTTGTTGGTGTTAACTGATTATCAATAACAGTTCCATCCAGTATGGAGATATATATCTGTATATATGTCTCTCTCTCTCTCTCTCTCTCTCTCTCTCTCTCTCTCTATATATATATATATATATATATATATATATATATAAAGATATTTGGCTTCAAAGACTCATAAATATGTCAAACATGACCCCAGTCAGTGGGATTTTTGACAACTTTCATTAGTCCCTATAACGACTTGCCCCAAGCCATCTACTTTTCTACCACATCACTTTATGACATGTTGTAAAGATGTTGGGAAGAGGATAATACTGTCAGTGACTAGCTCTCTGGCCTTTCTAGCCTATGGTCTAACCAACTAAAATAGAGTCCAAACAAGCTCACTTGCCTAAGAATAAAACACTATCATTTCCTTTTGTGGAAAATTACCAATTCTTATTGAGATCTTGCTTAACTATGGAGAATATGAAATATTGAAGACATTAAACACTTTGTGTCATCTTGGTTTGGAGGGAAGGAAAAATATAGATATTTAAGAACTCTAATTTGTGTGCAGATTTTGCCTTTAGTCCTGTTTAAATAACCAGTATTTGCTTAAGCAAATGGTACTACCACAAAGAGTGAGATTAAGGCAGTATAAAGGTGTGGAGTTCAACATGCCAGGAGTCCAGTCCTGTTACTTGCCATACCATTTTTGGTTCTGTAGAATGGGCATTACAGTAAGACCTGCCTTAGATTGATTTGAGGATCAAAGGGAAAAAGTAACATCTAAAACACAAAATAGTTACTTAACCCTTTTCCCTGCTCAGCTTCTTGGCTAGGAGAGATCCATACCTCACGCCAGGCTGGAAATTTCTTAGGAGCAAGCTCATTGGCCACAGGCATCAACAAGTTCTGTTTACACTCTCCTTGAGCAAACAGTGGCTGCTGAGCACCCTCCATGCCAAAATAATAAGGAAGAAAATAAACCCATTATTACAGTATTCTTCATTTGGCAATATGAACTGATCCAACAAGTTTGGGGGCTTCCAACCCCCAAATGGGGAAAAACTAGTCCAATGTAGACTAGCCCATCTCTGTTCTTAATCTTCATATAAATTTCTTGTGAGCTTGTGTTGGGTGTTAATGGCAGGGACTCTTTTCAGGCCAAGGCTAACCCTAATGACAATAATGCTATATATAGTCCATCTTCGAAACACCTCTCTGGATCTAATCAGGAAAAAGAGAGGTTTAGCTTGAGGCCTAAACTGAGGTGGCAAAGAACTGGGAATTGTACCCTGCTGGACGTGTGCTGGAGCTTGGCGTTCTTTTCACAGTTTTACAATAATCAGGATCACCAGTGGAACTAAACATCCTGTATGATGTTTGTCTTCATGAATCATTTCTTTAACCTGTGCTAGCTCAGGCGAAGTGCTAAGAGCCAAAGGTCTGTTTTCCATATTACAATGGATCTAAATCAAATGAGAGAGGAATAGAAAACTGCCTTTAACATGATCTCCCTTGTCCTGAGGTTGAGTGCTAATTGCCCCCAAAGGGACTTCCCAATCTATATTGAAAAGCTCTTGGGGTTGAGCAATCTGGAAGACATGGATTGGAATAAATTTTTTTGAGTGAGTGATGATTCTGCCCTTTACTAACAATGCAAGTCAATTAACTTTTGACTGTCTTGGATTCCTGATCTGTAAAAGAAGGATGGTGATACCTATCTCACAGGGATGTTGTAAGGATTAAATTAAATTGGAGGACACATGTAAAGAGTCTACTGCATACCTTGACATATCACAGGTGCTCAAGGAATATTGGTAGACAGAAAAGTTAAGCACACAAATAATGACCCATAAATGATGACATAAGTTTAATGTGTGGTCACAATGCAGGGTGGTAGGAGAGAGGCGGATAGGAAAAGAAATAAGAGTTGGGCCCGGCGCCTTTGCACACTCCTATAATACCAGCAACTTGGAAGGCTGAGACAGGAAGATGGCGAGTTCAAAGCCAGCCTCAGCAACTTAGCAAGACCCTAAGCAACTCAGTGCTCAGTGAGACCCTGTGTCTAAATAAAATATTAAAAAGGGCTGGGGGTGTGGTTCAGTGGTTAAGACAAAAAAAGATTAAAAAAAAAAAAGAAAAGAAAAAGAGAACAATTAGTACCTTGACCTGCCTCTGTGATAATCAGTAGCATTTCAATGGGAAGAGATGGAGAAAGTGTGCTTTCTAACTAGAGGGAGGAGCCTGAGGAATGGTCCACGGGTGAACAGGCAGTTGATGCTGGGGATTGCAAGTAGACCGATGGGCTGAAATGTGGAATAACGTGGGGAACAATACAAGATGATAAAGTTGGAAAGTGAGAAACTAAGGGGAGAATCCCTGGAGGATTTCTGGCTGAGATAGCAGCCTGCTCAGAGTGAATTTGCATGAATAGAAAATAAATGTGGATGAGGTAGGTTGAAAGGTGAGAGCAGAGATGGGGTAAAGAGGCCAGTTCAGATTTTACTGAGGTCCAGGATGAGGTTAATAAAGGTACTGCACTGGGATGGTGATAGTGGGAAAAATGGAAATGTGTAGATAGGACAAAGGGGCTGATGGGAGGTTAGAAGATGCAACTGATTAGCTGAGGCATAGAGTGCTGGTGAGGGGCAAGTTGAGGATTTTTGTCAGGATTTTAGAGTGAGCAGTTAGTAGGAGTTCCTAGCCCAGATGCAGAAAGAACAGCATTAGAGAGCAAAGTGATCCCTTTTTTTTCCCTTCCAGCCTCCCTGGGATCAGCCCCTGTCGCAGGTGGTGAAATCCGGAGTCTTTGGCACACCCCTTCACTGTGTGATCGTGGTTTTTAGGTTTTATTTCCTTCTGTTTGGGTCTCACACATTAACTAAGGCTTGAACTCCACAGGGAAATAGGCAGATCTAGAAAACTTTCAGGGCCCCTGATCTTTTGGGAAATATTTATATAAGATTTAAACTGAGTCTTGTGGTTCGGGACCATCAAGGTTGGATGCTAAAAATACCTGCCATATTTGAAGAAGAGGGAGACCATTTATCATGAAGTACTTATAGGAGCAGGATTTCTGTTTTCGTTCGCTATCAGAGAGGGCTAAGGAATAATACATTCTTGGGCTCTGAAGGCATTTAAGAAGACATTTTGTTTATTTTCCTGACTCAAGGTGAGGGTGTACCAAAACCAAACCAGACTGATAAGTATTAGACTTATTTAAAAATTTAAAAGTTACAAAATGGTGCATTTCATTGGTGCGTTGGAAAATATAGGTTACAAAAGGAAAGATGATAAAAACCGCCTATGGTTCCATCACTTGAACTATCATTTTTATGTATATACTTGTGAGAGAAAGAGGCAGATAATGGTACAGAGTGCGGGGTATGGATAAAACTGGCCGAGCTGGGTTCAGCTTCCAGCTCCTTCTCTTAGCAACTGACCTAGGGAAGTTATTTGATCCCTTCATGCCTCTCTTTCTACATCTTTAAAATAGGAATATTGGGGGCCAAGTATGTAGCTCAAAGGTAGAGCACCTTCAGTAGCCTGAATGAGGCCCTGGGTTATATCCACAGTACCACAAAAAAAGAAACAATGAATATTAATAACATTCACTTGATTATTATACAAGAGAGTTAATACATGCAACATGCTTGGGACAGTTCTTGGTGCATAGTAAGTGCTCAATAAATGTTAACTATTATTATATTTTTAGTGGAAGCATAATCAACTTTGTCTTACAATAATAAAAACTATTAATAATTTAAGGGTGATAGGAGTAGGTCTAATAATAAGTAGATGTGAAAGATATTCTGAGGAAAATGTTGGTGGAATTTGGTAAAGAGAGTCGAGGGGGGCACAGCACTCTAGCAGTGCTGCTCCACATGGTGGCCTCCAGCCACATGTGG